CTCACGTGGGAGATGAACTCGGCGGTCTGCAGGCTGCCCCCCTTCTTGCTACACTGGAGAGCCTCCCCTGAGCTTTTGCTGTCTTTATCCTTAATATCTATTAGAAATCCGTTGTTTTGACTCTTAAAGGTATCGACAGCCGAGGCGCTTTTAATAATATTCCCTTTTTTCCGGTCCAAAGGAAACGTCTGGTAGCACTTTTTAAGGTCCGGGGAAGTCTGGACTCCTGTGCTCTTGGTGACGTTGGGTATTGACCTTCGTGCAGGCACCGTCATGTATTTACGATAAGCCGTTTTATAAGAAATGGCCTTTGCTTCTCTTTTGTCTGTGTCCTGTACTGTCGACAGTTGTTTGTCCCTTTGTTCGTTTTGGGCCTCGCAGATATCTTTAAATCTCACCTGGAGGGCTTTGTTTCTCTTCTTAATCTGCCGATTGGGATCCAGTGCGTATTTCATCTCCAAGGCGAGGGAAGCTGCTGGCTCGACTTCGCTTTCCGAGGTGGTGAGTAGGCATTTGCTGGGCTCCTTACTCACCATGATGCCTGCGTTCAAAAACAGTTCAAAAAGCCTTTTGTTACAACAGAAATACTGATTTAGCTCTAAACACTGCAAACTACGAGAAAACTTCTCGGGCTTTGACGGAAATGTCTGCCGCTCACAGACAGCCTTTTTGCTTGATTCTTTCAATTAAGTCGTAATCCTTTAATATTAGACTTCAGTCTTTTGTTAGAAAAATAGTTCCTCTTTTTCTCGGTATACTTTGAGATTTATTAAAACCTCCTCCTACCCAGAGAGGTTAAATATAGGTAATTCCTGTTTTATAGGCAGAGAAATTGGATTGGATAGGCAGAGAAATTGGATTGTAAATTGGCTGAGACTTCTGCAGGGCCACAAAAGCAAGATGATACCAAGGTTAAAAAAAAAAAACAAACGGTTTTGTGGCAGTCTAGAGCTGCACCCGGGAGCTCTTTGTAGCCCTCTTTGCAGACAGCAGGCACCGTTGCTGTTGTCTGACTGATGGAGCTTGTTTGGTGTTCTGGCCCCTTTGGAAGGGAACTTAAGCTGTCAGGAAGCCAGTCATATAAATTTACTTGATAATTAATAAAAACTATGGGTAAATGAATAAAAAGTCTGTACAAAGAAAAGAAACACATATAGTTCTGATCGCCTTCTCCTTTAATGCAAATATTTAATATTAAGACTGTGGTATTGCTTTTAACAATACTTGGGCTTACCAGGCACACCTCTCTGTGTAATGTACTCTGCATCTTTACAAGGAATGTATTTGTCATTAGAGGTGTAGGCAATTTGTTTTTTTCGTTTGTTTGCTTTTTTGAAATCTATCTCATAGTTTAACCTAAAATCTGGGAAAAGTGTAATTATTGTTAGCAAGTGGTTGGTACTGCTATGTTCGTAAAGATTATGAGCTATGGAAGTTTGTAGCCGAAGTGAACAGTGCACAAATCAAGGTTTTGCTTTAAATGCAAAACAACCCAGCCTTCACTAGAAGTGCTAATATGCCTTTATTTAAAAAAATAAAAAAGCTCCTTATCCCAAAGGTTCCTAAAGCACTTCAGAAAGAAAAAGAAAAAAAAAAAAAGCAACGGTGATGATTCACAGAAATTACTTACTCTGCTATTGAAACATAAGCACTTCCTCAAGGATGAAAAGATGCCAACTGCTTAACATAGCACGTAGCAAAAAACAACAGCTCCATCTCTGTACAGATCATATGGGATCTGTAGTAACTATGAACGGTTAAGACTTCGTTTTTACACCTCACTTGAAAGTTGTCATTTTAGTCTCCTATTGCACAAATTTCTCTCTAATCCTGTTGCTGAATTACCAAATTCCCACTTAATCCAAGTATTCTGCACGGGTCTCCTATGTAAATGCTCATGTACTCTCAAAGGGACTCAGAGTACAATGTAATATGAGTAAAGGGACTTTTAGGTAACGTAACTTTTTTGATAAAAATTATTTCCTTCCATTAAATAAGAAGTCTGAAACTCTTACATAAGAGTTAAGTGCTACAATAGGGTTATGTTTTAAAAACCAACCCCTGTGGCACCAGTGAGTGAATCCTCTGTATTTAGTTTTCATTTAGGGAAAAGTTATTTTCAAGGGAAAATTGAAAGTTTATAGTTTTTTTTTTTAAAGAAAAGAATAAAACGATTTTCCGGAAGTTACTAACACGCCCAAATGTGCATGGCGGACCACCTGTATACTGCGAGGTTTCCTGGGAGCGATGGTCTGTTGCACTCGGGAAAGAGGTTATCCAGTATACCACACACTGAATTTAGTACTCCTTCCTTGTCAAAGCCAAGCAGAGAGATCTAAGTCTTGGCTGAGTGCTTCAACCTGAACTTGTAATCTTCTTTATATTGCCTTTTATTGTTTGAAATATTTCTTTCTTGTTAGCTCTGAATGGTCACACACAAAAGTCTGATCATGTCGGGGCTTCAGTTTCCAGGCTATTTTTCACTCAAAGTCCTGTTAGGAAATTTCGCCTGAGAAAGGGCGAAACTTTATTATATCTCTAAATGGCATTGTGCAATAAAGGGAAAAAGAGTGACACCCAGAAAGAGTAAAACTTAACCGCTCAAGCCAGTGACCCCAGCAGTATGGCAGCTAGTGTTTTGGCCGCCTTTTCTTCTAGGGAAACCGAGGTGTGAGGTGGCTGCCGCAGCCAGTCCTGAGGATTGCCGCAGATTTGGTCGCCAGCGTTAGCTTGTTGCTTTCAAAACCTCTCATGCAAATCTGCCATTACTTAAATTTTGTCATGTTTTATTTCCCTGGTCTCAGTAATTTGCAAACATCTAACTGAAATATTCCAAAATCTGTATAGTTTGCCCTTAAAAACAAAGAAAAAACCCACCCATTTGTCATGTTCAGGTAGTTGTGATGAGAAACTGTCTTTTTAGAAGGGGAAGTTCCTACCTGAATCTGTATGAGAAACATCCAACCTGAGTAAGTCTGTATGAGGGGGTGGGGGAAGAGGCGGAGAGAGCAAAAAGTGGAAGATTTGGGACAAAAACCTCTCAAATAATGAAATCTTAAATTGCTATGTAGTAGTTTTCACACTAAATCTGTGTGTGAAAGTACAGCATCTGGTACCAAGGTGACCAAGTTTCTCTTTTTTTTGGGGGGGGGGGTGTAGAAATAGCGCCTTCTATAATAGGGAGAGGAAGTCACGGAAGAGAACAGAAATGCTAGAGGGAAGCCTAGAGATAAAACGTAAGCTTACAGTGATCTGTTGTCCTTTGCGCCCTACTGGCAGGCTAAGATCAGTTCAGTTATCCACAGGCCTTTAATCCATGACGTACAAACAAATGGTATTTTTTGCAGGAAAAAAAATGAACTACTGATGAACGTTAGGGAGTTTTTGTTCCAGAGGAGCGCCAAAATAAGCGGTTAGTCAAGCTTTGTGGGGAATATTAGTATCCTTTATTTGCTGCTTTGGATTATACCTTCACTGCGACGCGCATTAAACAATTAAGTTAGGCCTGTCCTTGTGACATGTTCTGTATCCCATTGGTTTGTCCCACTGGTTGACAGCTTCCAAAGATGGTGCTGGTAGGGAATATAAATATTTATCTATCCGTCTTAATATATAAAGCTGGAAATTCAGAATGCTTTAGTGAGTAATGAAACGCTTTGTAAGATACAAACCTGTGGGTCGCTCAGCTTGAATTTTGACAAATCTAACACGTACGATGCTAAAACACGCTGTTAAAAAACTACCATTAAAACCAGAAACTCTGCCCTTATTTCCATGTTTATGAAAGGATGTGCTAAACCAATGAGTTTACCGGAAAAATGGATACAGCAAGGTAATAGCCATTGTGTCCGTTAGTGTTCAAATCTGCTCACGTGAGTTCTTGCACTGCTAAGAAATTGCAGCAAATACGAAATAGGTTGCACTTAGATGTGAAATATTCAGTAATTATGTCTGAAAGGAGGACGCACTTCTGAAGCATAAAGGCAGCTGACACAAAAGCTGTTTCCTGCATCTGAAAGTCACTTGCTGAAAATGTCTCCTAGACTACCTTGTTGCTCTGGAAGTTCCTGCTGTCGTGACTTTCTGGTACTTGGTATTTGACAACAGGATCCACTAGCGCAGTAGGTTTATTCTGAAGCATTGGCTTGATATTTTGTTAGCACACCTCTGAATTGAAGACACTGGCTCAGTTTTCAGATCCCGTAATCTTTGGCACTGCCAGAGCACTGGGTTAGTTTGGAAAGACATAGCAGACAAAATTAATTGAGTTTTTAATACAGATGAAACCAGGAGTCTGATGATATTTTACAGAATGGAAATAAGATAAATGATGTAGTATAGTCTGTGATGCAGTTAATTTTAAGTGTCTTTAATAGCCAATAAATTGATTCTTCAGATATGCTTGTCTCCTTCTCCCACTTGTACCAGCGTGCGTGATTTAGCTAATCTAGAGGTTTCTATTTCCACTAGTAGCCTGGAGTAATCATTTTCTAGATATCTGTGATTAAGAATGATAACTATCAAAAGAATTCAGATTATTTTTAAGTCTTACTCAGTTCTTCGCGTCTCCAAGGAGAACTATATGTGCACATCGGGTAGCTGAGTGGTTGAGAAAGCAGTTGATCGGGAGTTAATAGGCAGCACAGAAAAGTTTATGTGACAGGTTTTTTTTGTTTTGTTTCATTTATTTTTTGAAGAAGGTGTTGACTTCAATTTTTGCTTACTTAGGCACTACCACCTACAACGTACTCGTTTGGGAGGCCTGCTTAATCATGTAACCTGCATTCGAGAGCAGACCATGCTAGATCTGCCCCGTTCCCAGTGAAGTTAGTGCCGAAATTTGTATTGATTTCAGTGGGAGCAGGAGCATGCCATGGGCACAGCCTGGGCCTGGGCTGGCAGACTGGAAAAAGAAATCTCAATTTATTTCCTCTGCCTGCACGATTTCTCTCTAATTCTCCTGCCCGTTACTCAGCCCTATGGTGTTTTCTGGAATACAAGCAGAGACTGGCATACAAATGTGTGACTAGGAAACACGACGCAAACTGCAGGGCTTTCTGGTTCCTCAGGAAACTACTGAGCTGGAATTTCTGTTTGGGCGAGTACTGCCGAGCTTCTGGCTTACTCTGTCAGTGGGCTAGTAAATGCTTTGGACTGGAATTTCGTTGCAGGTGCCAATGAAATACAGATAATGCAAATAATTTTCTGTCTGTAATTACTAAGAACAAACCCTGACTGCATGACCCAATTTGCTAAGCTAAATATTTAAGTGATCACAGAGCTGAATTTTCATTTTCTAGCTGTGATTTGTTTTTAAACTCCTGGTTGATTACCCTTAAGCAGTGTTCCCTTATGTCTGAATATGGGAATAAATTATTAAATAATAATAATAATAATAATAAAGTGATGTACAGAGAAGCCTTAAGTCAGTAAATCTTCAGGGTAAGTCATGGAAACCACCACCTTTATTATTTCAGGTTCCCATAGCATATTTTACTCGTTTAAATAAATCGCTCCCTTTCAATTCTTCCTTTAG